TGGGGACAAGACAAGGTTGCCTGCTATCACCACTTCTATTCAATATAGTACTGTGTAGGATAACATTGCCACAGGGATCTTATTGGTTACACCCATCACAGTGCTCCCTAGTCACTCCCATTCCTCTGTTTATCTGTAAACTCTTCTCTGTGCTCTCCTCCCCAGCCAGTTAATCACCTTTTCTCCCTAATCAGATTCTGTTAGCTTGTAAGATCAGATCCTTCTTAGGACACTGAACTTGTATTGTAAGTTATGTCCTTTGCATAGTTTACCTTAAAACAATGTCCTTTCTGTATGAACACAGAAAGACAGTTAATATTATGCTTTGTAAGTTGGGAGTTGATTGACTCCGAATAATACTTACTCCTGGGCATCTGCTTTATTGACTCAGTTGCCCTTAGTTCCTAGTACCCCCAAAACAGGATCCCAACGAGGGACTGAATGGACCCAGGGAAAGCTGTGAGCTACCCTGGCATCGAAATGGGCCAGGCCAAAGCGCCACGATACTCAACTACAAGTTGTGGGCATGATCATGGACAAATGCTGTCATGATCCAAAAGTAAGTAACAAGACTAGGACCCTGCTGGGGCTAGGAAGACTAACCTGGCCTGAGGACTGTATATATATAATATATATATGTATATATTTATATATATTGAGATGTCCTCAGGAAGAACCAAACTGTAAGTTTATCTCTTACTGTGCTCATACAGAATGACATTGCTAGAAATATTGGAAGTAGACTTACTACAACTATTTAAGTAGATTACTATCTGAGGAAAGAACACACCCTTGTTGGCATCCCACCTTTGAGCAGATATCCTAGTAATCTGGAATAATCTCTTTAGATGAGATTTTATCCTTGAGTTAATCTCCTCGAGGAGTGATCTTACCTCTCTTTGCTGATTTGTTAATGCAACCCACTTTTTTGCCACCACCCTACGTGATTGCTATATAAACTAAGACTGTAAGATCTAAGGGGGCTTGGGGCTCAAGAGAGCAGAGACTGAGGCTCAGGCTGAGGCTCGGGCTCGGGAGCTCGGGCTCCAGAGGGCAGAGTCAGAGGTGAGAGTGAAGATTGGAATAAACTACAATTGATATCGGCCAGCCTGGCCCTCGCTCGTTCCTTCGCCTGCCCATTGCCATCGACCTCGCTGAGGTGGGGGGAAATGACTCGAGACTACCGAACATGGGTGGCAGGAGAGATAGAGTACCGCCAGACCTTTTGAAAACACACAGTACCGGAAGTACTTGACATAGCAGTTATGGAAGAAAAGGATATAAAGGATATCATATAAGAAAGGAAGAGGTCAAACTCTCCCTATTTGAAGATGACAGAATACTATACTTAGAGAACCCTAAAATCTCTACCAAAATGTTCCTAGAAACAATAGACTTGTATAGTAGAGTGGCAGGTTACAAAATCAATACCCAAAAGTCTATGGCTTTCCTATATGCAAACAGTGAATGAGAAGAAAGTGATATTAAAGAAACAATCCCGTTCACAAAGTGGCACAGGAACTCAAGTACCTCAGAGACATCTTAATTAAGGAGTTAAAGAGACTGTACAAAGAAAACTAAGAAACATTACTTCAAGAAATTAAAAAGACACAGAAAATGGAAACACATCCTCTGCTCATGAATTGGGAGAATTAACATCGTCAAAATGGCAATACACCACAAAGCACTATACAGGTTCAATGTTGTCCTTCTAAGGATACCCATGACATTTTTGTAAGAAATTTATCAAACACTCCTGAAATTCATATGGAAAAATAAACACCCACGAACAGGTAAAGCAATCCTTGGGGGAAAAAAGATGGTGGCATGACTATTCCCCACTTCAAACTCTACTACAAAGTGATAGTGATTAAAACAGAATGGTAATGGAATAAAGAAAGAACTGTAGACCAATGGAACAGAGTTGAACTCCTGGCACAGACCTTAAAATATACAATCACCTCATCTTTGACAAGGAAGCAAGAAATATGAAGTGGAGCAAGGAAAACCTCTTTCACAAGTGATGCTGGGAAAACTGAACAGCTACATGTATAAAAATGAAGTCTGACCTCTACTAATGCCATACACAAAAGTATGATCAAAATGGATTAAAGATCTCAGTGAAAGTCATATTATGCAAAATAAAGCATATTTATTGTCACTTAAAAATTAAAATAAAAATCATTGGTATAAAATAATGATAAATATAAAAATTAATCCTTAATTGTCAATAGGGAACCCCAATAAGTTTGAGGATGAGGGAAGCCAGATCAGATAACTCTTGACTATAGATAAGGGCCACCCCAGTGCAGTGAATAGGCAATATTTGGAGATGAAAAGATTTGTCTTGTTTTTCACATTCTAATGATTCTTGCTCATGTTCTAGAGAGAGGTCAGGAGTCAATTCTCTGAGTTTGCTCCCATGAACATTGTTCTAAAGTGTGGATGAAATAAAAAAAAATTGGGTCATCAGGATGGAAGGAGGGTATCAGGGTCTTGTGGATGTCTCAGGAGAGGGAAGGCATTTAAAATGGATTCTGAAGCTTCTTTTCATCCCAACTTCTTTTGGTCACACCACTCAGAAAGTGAAGGTGGTTGCAGAGACTAAGGTGGTAACAACAGGATTTCTAGGAAATAGCTGTGTAAAACAGTTCATACTTCAGTATCTGTTAATTCAAGGAATGCTCCTCTGGTGCTGGTGTCCTGGTGTGGCTCTCCTTCTGAAGTACCTTTCCTGGATATTTGGGCATTTCTTGAGAGAGGGCTCTGCACATCAATGGTTTCCTAGGTTTTGCCCCCATTCTTCATCACTCCCACCCTGTCAGAAAAGGTTTCAAGAGGATCAAGATTCAACACAGCATCTGAAATTGGATTTTCCATAATTGTTCTCTGTGAGAATTTCTTGTCTCAAAATATTCTAGAAAAAGTCTCTGATACCCTTCATGCACTGCTCCTTATTTTTATCCCTTTCTTCCTTTGACTAGAACTCTGTGTCTATCTCTGAACACACTTAACCCACTCTTATTCCAAGGACTCATCGTTTTCTTGGATGTTGAGAATCTATTAGAGAACTTCACCATCACCCGAGAAATTTGAGGGCAGTGTGTTGATGTTTCTTAACTTCACATGGGACCTGGCAATGTGTGACTAGCAAGATGGCCCCTTCTTTTGACTTTTCCCTTGATGGAGATATCTCTACTCTAACATTCCCTCCACGACTTACAATCAGATGCTTAACTTCTTGTAGAGGTAAATGGCAGACACACCAACCACCAACAGCACCTTGAGACCAAAGAGGAAGCCCAGGAGGAAGTGTATGTGGGAGCGATTGTACACGTCTGTCTGTGGCCCTGGAAATCAAGCAACAAGACTTTCTTTAAAGGAACTATACAGAAGTGAATTCTCAGGAAACTCTAATTACATTTGTGATGGCAAAACCCAACAAATTCTGAAACTTTTGAACTTGACTGCTCTTCTGGTTCAGGATCAATTAAAAATCAAGGTAAAGAGTTCCCTTATATTGGGGCCAGAGCCATAGTCCAGGGGGAATGATGCTTGCCTTGCATATAGCCAACCTGGGTTTTATTCCTGGAATTCCATATGATCATCCAAGTACCCCTAGGAGTAATCCCTGAGTACAGAGGAAGAAGTAACCACTTCTGAGAATTTGTGGTTGTTATCCAAAAGCCAGAAAAAAAGAGGTTCCTTTATTTCATCACTCACAGGCTAAATTTCCAAGGTTATCTTCATTGAAGGAGGGTGGAGAGAGAGAAAGCATAGTCAGATATCAAAATTCATTATTTAATCTACTGATCTTATCCTCAGACTAGAATGTGAATCTTCTCAATGAGTTCCCTAACATGGGGGATTGAAAAGTCTCCATAGTGGGTGGGTCTGAAACTGCACAGGGTTCAAGATCTGACCTGTGAGCAGACAGATCCTAGGGAAGAGCTCCATCATTTAGGCAATCCCACGGCAAAGGACGGACCAAGGAAACAGAAATTGTTAGACAAAGTGAGCTCACACTGAGGGAATCTGCTTATTGAAAGAGTCACTAGCACAGTGCTCAGGCCTTAGCAAGGTGATTAAGGAACTTTATCGCCTATCAGGATAAAAATGTGAAGTCCACAATAACAGTCCCTGAAATGTAACAAGAAAATAGTAACTGTACTAAAGTATAGGATTCTCTGTGTACACAGAGGAGCTTAACTCTAGCTGGTTTTCTTGAGTTATGAATTATAACGTACTTGAAACTACCCAGCACAGTGCTTGACACCTGGTTTATGTCTACTTGTCAACCCAATGGAAACAGTTGGGTGTAGCCAACCTCTGGAGTTGGGAATGACTGTTGGAAACTTTCCCAAGGTCTGTGGAGGCATTTCTAGAGGGATTACAAGGGAAGCAGTGCAACAGTGGGATCCAGGGAGCTGATCCAATGGCCTATACAGAGGGCTGGTACTGGTACCCCTAGTTTCTACCTAGAAATGTGACAGAAGGCCTTTCTCCTTTCCAATCCTGCGAAGGAGAAATGAACCAAGTAGTAGAAACATTTAGTTTTGAGGTAAATAGAAGATGCTCCTCAAAGTAAACCAGATCTAATTGGCTCCCTAAATCTATTTCTATTCAGCATCTTTCCTCATACACTTATGAATCTACTCGTGTCTTTTACACAGCCACCCAGGTTTGATCCTGGCACCACCTATGGTCTCCTGAGCTTCTTCAGGGTATGTTAGGAGCATTGTTGGATGTGGCCCCAAACCAAAACAAATTAATGATTGATGGGTCACTATTTTACATTGTTTAAAATTTTTAAAAGAGGAGATTAATTTTTATTACTATGCATGTTCTATAAAAAAAGTTAATAAAGCCTTGGTCCATAGAACTGTCCTTATGTAAGGGAAAGAGTAGGTGGATGGAAGGGTTTCTTGGCCAGTTGTTGGGAAAAAGTTTCTACCGTGGTATTGAGTGATGGAACAATATATCATTACCTTTATTGTGAATTATGGTACTGCAATGAAAACGGAAAACAATATAGGATAACATAGCTATGGGTTCCATTTCTAGCTCGGTGTACAAATAGGACTGTGTGTTTGTATTTCTGTGTGTGTGTGTGTGTGTGTGTGTGTGTGTGTATTTCAGACAGTTCTCCCAAAAACCTTACTGAATTGGCCTCAGGTTACATGAGGGAGAAACAAAATATATTTATTCACATGACCAGACATTGCAAACCCTTGAATAATGCCATCACAGGGAATCACATATCCAAAAATCACACATTAGATTTCAAGGCTACAGTACAGTCCCTGCCTCAGGAACTCTTGTGACTTGGATTACTTTAGCCCGATCACCTGGTCTAAAGCAGGAAGTCTTAAAATGTCCTTCCCTCATTCCTCCCCAAATCTCTTCTGTAAAAATTTAAACTCAGGGAATGGTTGAAGCAGAAAGTAGATTGTAGGTGGAAAATAATTTCTAATGGTAACTGTGCAGAATGGCGGTGATGAATGCAGGTCCATTGTTACAAACTAAGGACACAGAAAATCCTTGATTCCAATCACCACACACAGGTGCCCAGTGGAACTCAACTAGGCAGGGTTTCCTCTGTGTCTGCACAGACAGAAGATCCAAGTGTCATCGGGTCATCTTACAAAACAGATGAAACAGATGTAATTCTGGGATGGAATAAAGTCTCAGCTGGGTTAGAGAACAGGAGGGAGGTGAGCTGAGTTGGATGGTGAAGGGAACTGCTGTGAAGAGAAGCAAGTGGGAGTCTGGACCCATGAATTATGACTGTCCTGCTTCCCCACTTTATTTCTTTTTTTTTTAATTGTTGTTTGTATGTTTGGAGCCACACCTGGCTGTGCTCACACCGTACACCTGACTCTCCAGTTAAGGAGATATCTAGATATCTTGGGGGTACCATTTGGATTTTATCAGATCAAACATGAATCAGTTGAATGTAAGTCAAAGAGCTACTCATTGAAGTATAACTCAGCCCCTCCCCACTTTATTTTTTAATTTAATTTAATTTTAATTTTTGCTTTTTGAGTCCATCTGGTGATGCTCAGGGGTTGCTCCTGGCTCATGCACTGAGGAGATACTCCTGGAGGTGCTCGAGGGACCATATGGGATGCTGGGGATCGAACCTGGGTTGGCCACGTGCAAGGCAAATACCCTACCCATTGTGCTATTGCTCCAGTGCCCCCCCCCCTTTATTTCTTAAGGTTTACTTATGCCAAAAAGCTGACACCAACCTCATCCTAGTGGTTCTTCTTGAAATGCATGATGGAGGCAGAGATTTGTATAGGTCTGTATAGTCAGTCACTGTCACTGTCCTCCCGTTGTTCATCGATTTGCTCAAGCAGGGCCAGTAACGTCTCCATTGGAGACTTTTGTTCTTTACACAAGAATGAAACCAATAGCACAGTATCTCACACAGAGTAGGTGTCAGGCAAAGCTTCTATTAGGGGATAAAAAGTTAATGAGCAAAGCCCCTACTCTGCAGTGTGAACATAATAACTACCACCAAAAAGTGAAATAAAGAATGCACATGAGGGAGGTTGATATTAGGTAATTAGGAATTTGAGTTGTTTAAAGCCCTCTAGTATTCCTTGACTTCCAGTGTTAGGTCTCACCCTGTGCTCTCCAAATTGACATATAATCTGGTTATACAAAGCCTCTGGCTGTTTTCTTCTGTTGTTTAATAGATTAGAATATCTACAGCATCTCGAGCAAGGTTTCTACAGCTTTAAACTTTTTTATTTGTTACAGAAAAATAACATTTTATATTCTTTGTTATGTGGGATACTAATGGTGTTTAACCTGCATTCTCAGTCTGTCCAAATGATATGAATCAATTCTCATGGCTTTACCACAAATACAGCATGCTGTAAGCTTGGAAACCCAGAAATGGTGCGGGGAGGGAAGGACTTTCTTCATTATATGTCTCAGATAATGAGTTATGAGTACAATTTGACATCAGGAGGAAAATCACACTCAAGGTTGACATTTTTATACCATTAATTTACAGAAAGATGATGCATTTAGTTTAGTGTGTCATATATTTCATATAGTATTTCAAGAGTCATAGACAGTATTGTCATAATTAAACTATTACTACAAGATAACTCATCATGACTATTTTTCTGTTGAATGCACATTGAACTCAATAAAAAACTCATGATATTATGAAAGTTCTAAAAAATTTAGAAAATATCTGAAAACTATTTTTATTAGAAATGGTATGCTTTTAATTTCAATCCGTCCTCCCAGCTTCCGGTGTTCTGTCAGTTCTCAGCAGTGTTCATCGCGCCCTTCATCTCTGCGGGACCCTGAGCACAATGCTGCGAGGGCTACAAAACGGTTCCCGTTATAGACTGCAGAGTTGCACAGCCACAGTCGAGGGTCTCCGCCTTTACACAAGGTCCTGCAGCTGCATCTCAGGCTGCCCCAGGTTTCTGACCGGCCTCCTCCACTTCTCCACATCTCCAGCTCCAGCAATCCCAGCAGTCCATCGGCTCCCCGGGTAGGGAGCTGGCACTGTGTGGACTACACTTCTCACTGAGCCTTCTGGAGTTCTGCCACCCTCTGGCCTTCCTCCCTCTTCTTATTCCCAGTCTCAACACTGCAGCCACTTCTGCCCTCTCTGACCTCTCTTCACAGACACCAGATCCCTATATCTTGCCCCAGTTGTGAACCTCAACAGACACCTTCCCTCCCTCCCTCCCTCCACCCTTCCTCCCTACTTCTTTTTCTCCTGCCCTCTAAAAAGAAAAAAATATAGAGAACCCTGACCCCATGTGGAGTGATAGGCCAGAGGTCACAGAGAAAAGGAGGCAGAGCAGGGACATGAACCCAGGCAGGCAGTTCACCAGGCTCTCCCCTGGGGCTCAGTGATGTTAGTGATGCTTCCACAGGACTTTGTAGCCATCTCTATACCTCACAGACCTGAACTAAAACCACCACTTCACTGAGGGGGAAACTGAGGATTCCAGACACTGAGATGTCCACAGCTTTGGGATGACAGCACCACTGCTCATCTGCTGAGGACCAGTCCCATGAAGAGGGTGTTGCCAAGGATTAAGTAACAAGACAGAAATGAGAGTTGATTGGGGTCAGGTGGCTAAGCTCCGTCAGACTGTTAACCCCATTTTTTTCCCCTGTGGATCACATTTATTGCCTTACACCAAGAAACCAGAACTGGAGGACAACATTCTTAGCATGGGGACAGGATGCTTTGATTATGAGCACAACTGCTCTCAGAAGAGCTGCTCTAAACCAAGCTATTTCTAAGCTAAACATCATGCTTTGGGCAGTTCAAGGTGAATACCTTTCTTGTGGGCTCTCTCTATGGGTCTGTTTTCTCATACCAAGGCAGGCAGGCCAAGATGGTGCACATACAGGTCCATGCCTCAGCGCTGTTCCACATAAGTTGGCACTGGCGTTCTTACTACAAGGTACCATTTTTCTGCCCCCTAAGGCTACTTTCTCATCCTGTCTAACTTAACCCTTATTTCCCAACATTCATCTGTTTTCTCACCAGACTCATTGCATCTCACATCTTCCCACAAAGATTGGTGGATTAGTTAACTTCTCTGTGTAAGGAGACTGATGAGTGGGAGGAAGCTGGTTCACAGACCTTTGGTCTAGTCCCTGGTTTGTGGTCTACTCTGTGCTTATGAGCAATGGCATCTCAAATCCTTTCAACTCTCCTAAATGGAGTTGGTCACTATTGCCATTTTGGAGATGAAAAGACTGATCCTCTAAAGATTGTCTCATGACTTCCCATCATCTCATCAAGCAGTCCTTTGTCACCTAAGAAATTTTCCCCGGCTTTTACTTTTCAAGGTCACTTGCTCTGCTCAGAGCTTTCAGTGACTGGTGAGTCTCCGAACCACTGTAAAGTGGGCAGTCCTGGTGATTGTTAGACTGTCAGACTGAACAGAATGTGTGCTGCTTATCACCTTTTGTCAGTGATGTTTCTAAAACAAAACCAAATGCAGCCCTATTGCTGGCACCTTGTTAGAGAGAATAGGATTCAGAGATTTTGGAATCTGGTCATTGTGATGACCCCCTTTTCCAATGTGCCCAGAAAAGGACTGGGAACACAGTGGGTACTGAGGAAAGAGAAGATGCTCCACATTGAGAACAGCCCTCAGAGTGTTCTCCTTAGGGGCAAACTGCAGGACTCTGTGACTCCAACATCTTTGATCTCCAAAGGCAGGTGAAATGGACTGTGAAGCCGATCCAAGGACAAACACCAGCTCCTCACCTGGCCTTAGTTCTTGCTCTCAGGAGCAAGGCCAACCTGACTGACTGTGGTCACACAACAGGACGAAGGACACGCCCCCTCCCCCCACCAGAGCACTCACCACTCACAGTGACCTGGGTGCCTGGTCCAGACTTGAACATCACATCTTCCACATTCCCCTTCCGGAACTTCCCACAGTAAAAGGTGCCCGTGTCAGCCGGGCTGATGTCACGGATGCGGATGGAAAAGTCCATGTTGTCTCTCTTGGTGTAATCCGAAACATTGGTCACTCGGGGGTTGTGGCCTTTGCTTCCAAAGTTGTAGATCTCATCCCGGACACCCAGTTTCTCCCGGAACCACTTGACAGGGCCCACAGGAAGCAGGGAGGTCACAGAGCAGCGCAGAGTGGCCGTCTCTCCTGCGGCCACTGACACTAACCTGTCAGGCTGGATCACCTGTAGCTCCGCATTCCGCCCGACCACTCCTGAGGGAAACACAAGCAGCTCTTCACTCATCCTTGTTAGTCAGTAGGTTTTCCCAACTCTCTGTCAGCAACCTACACCAGTGAATGAGTGTTCAGCGTGGTGAGTTCAGCACATCGTGTGAATCTTATGTAGCCCCACCATGAAGCTCCGAGTGTGAGTGTGATGCAAAGGAGCAATCTAGGATCCAGGAGCTTAAGGGCCTGCCACAGAGGGTAGTTTAGGAGCTTTCCTTGTAATGTCTGGAATTAACTCCTTCCCTGTTCCTCCACTGTCTGCCCCAGGGAGTGTTGGACTTTTTCTTCTTTGCATTTTGAGGAACCATCAGACTTTTCTGACCAATGAGTGTGAGCAGAGGGACGGTGGTGCTAATGGGATATCCCTGACCTGCCAGGGCCTCAGTAAATCCATCCTTCTCTTACCCAGATGATGCTCCTAGTGGTGTCTGCCCTCAGCCAGAGTACTGTGAGGAAGGTGGAAATCCTAAAATACATGTGGAGATTTATTGGAAACTGAACATTGTTTCAATTCCCCAAGATTTAAAATTTTTAATTTCTGATCAGAATATATTGGTGTCATAATTCTGCTGTGACAATTATCAAAAGATTATTGTCTTAAAGTAATAAACTATTTCCTCAAAAGATGAATGAATTGGGGCTGGAGAGATAGCACAGCCGGTAGGGCGTTTGCCTTGCATGCAGCCGACCCAGGTTTGATTACCAGCATCCCATATGGTCCCCGAGCACCGCCAGGAGTAATTCCTGAGTGCAGAGCCAGGAGGAATCCCTGTGCATCGCCAGGTATGACCCAAAAGGCCCCCCCCAAAAAGATGCATGAATGAACATAATCTTGTATGTGTAGAAAATGGAATATTTGCATCCCTGATCATTAATGAAATTCTAATCCAGACTGTAACACAAATGAGCCTTAAAATAAATACTATGTTAATTGAAAGAAATCAAATGTAAGTGGGAAATAGTTCCCCACATGTATAATGTACCCAAAATAGGCCAATTCATACAGGAAAAACACCTTGGAACTCAGGGAGCAGAAAGTTATGCGGAGTTATTTGGGGTACACAACTTCTGTTTAGCTTATTGGAAAGTCCTGGAAATGTGTGTTGCTGATGATTTCACCATTGTGAATGTGCTCTATTGCCACCAACTTTTATACTTTTAACAGGCTGGTTCATCTTATGTATAATTAACATAATAACAAGTGCATACTAGAACAAGATCATTAATCTTTGATTTGAACTAATGATTTTAGGAAAAATACAATATATGTGATACTGCGGCAGGTAAATTACTTATAAATAGATATTTGAATGTGAAGAGAAACCAGAATTCAAGTAAGCAAGAAAGAGCAAGCTTAAAATTTATTTTATGAAAAGAATGAAACTGTTGACTTTGCTTTGAGAAAATAAGTTATAACTTGAGGGTCCGTCAGTCATACATGATTTTTCATACCAAGTGAAGGACTTTCCAGTTGGATTGCTTCCCCAAAGACTAGTCATATTCTGGAATAATATAGAAATGCTAAAAGTTTCCTCTGATTTGAAATGTCTCCTGGTTCTGATAGAAGATCTGCATCAGAGGATCAACCTGTTGTTGGACCATGAGTAAATCCCATTTTGTGAAGGCCTACTCCCCTCCTATAATATTTATCCTTACTTAGCATACTCAAAGCCATTTTGGGAAAGCACAGCTTTTCCCAGTAACTATCAGTTGAGCCAGATAACACCCATTTATGGGGATCAGCTGAAAAAGAAGAATTTTTTCTGTATGAAGTCAGTGGAGATAACCAATAAACCAATCAAGGGAAGGGTCACCAGGGAGTGGCAAAAGATAGTCAGGGAAGCCCCTTAATTCTTAAAGTATAAATAGACTCTGGAAGCAAGGGAAGGTGGTGCTCTCATTCTAGAGGGTTCGACCCTGACTGGTCAGCTCTCTAAACTCCATACTTGTTTGACTTGTGCCAAATAAAATATTACACTGCAAAGCTCATTGCTTTGTGTGGAACAGACCCTAACTATGTTCTTTTTCTGTTTCTATGGCTGGAGCGATAGCACAGCGGGTAGGGTGTTCGCCTTACAAGCGGCCAACTATGGCCGACCCGGGTTCGATTCCTCCGCCCCTCTCGGAGAGCCCGGCAAGCTACCGAGAGTATTCAATATGCCAGACACAGTAACAACAAAGTCTCCAATGGAGACGTTACTGGGCCCGCTAGAGCAAATCGACGATCAACGGGAGGGCCTTTACCTTTTTACCTTTATGTGCTCAACACCATGTAGAGTTGTGGTTCCTCTTTTCATGTGTGAGTGGGTAGAGTGTACACACTCAGCACCTGTGAGACTGGCATGGCTTCTAAGGAGGCATTGCTTTCAGGGCACACCAGGCTTGTTACTGTGGTCTAGGCCTCAGTTGGTTTGGGTTTAAGTCAGGAGAAGAAGATTGGGGGTTTCAGAGAGAGCACAGGGTTCTAGGCCCTCTGCTGACTATGGTTCAATGCCCAGGTACTACATATCGTGCCCTGAGCACTCCTAGGAGTGATCCGTGAGCACAGAGCCTGGACATCACCAGATGTGCCTCCAAACCCAAAACTTTAAACATAAAAATAGGGGCTGGAGCAATAGCACAGCAGGTAGGGCGTTTACCTTGCATGCGGCCGACTCAGGTTCGATTCCCACCATCCCATAGGGTCCCCTGAGCACTTCCAGGAGAAATTCCTGAGTGCAGAGCCAGGAGTAACCCCTAAGCATCGCCAGGTGTGACCCAAAAAGCAAAAAAATAATAAAATAAAATAAAAATAAGAGAAGATGACTAGACAATGAGAGGATTTGTGAAAAATGTGTCTGTTTATGTGACAAAGTGGGAATAATTACAACTGAATCTTGAAGAGATTAGTGACCTGAATAGTGGAGAGAGGGAAGAAGTGAAATAAGAAGGTTAATTGGAACCAGCGAATGGAGAAACTCTGCCCTCTGTGTATCCAAAATTCACACATTCACACTCTAGTCCAGAACTTTACTCCAGACACTGGACTTTTTGTACGATTCTTCCAGGCTGTGATCCTTAGATGGACGTAAACATCACACAGTTAACATCTCAGACCTGAATTCCTCATTTCTTCCCATGCCCTTACTATCAGCTTGGTTCTCCCAGATTTCAGATCCTAAGTTCTTGTGTTTTTCTCTCACTCCAGCACTGTGCACCAGGAAATCCTGTTGACTGCTCATCAGCACACGTCCCAGAGCTGAGCTCTTGACTCTGCCTCTATGAACTACTGGCTTGTTGCTGTCAATGTGTTTAGTGTGCATGAACTCAGTGACTTCTGAAATTATCTAGTTTTTTCTATCTCTGTTGCCTCGTCCATTCTCAGTTACATGTAGAATAATTTCATACTCATCTTGGAGCAAGTGGCTTCCCTCAGCAAAACCATGCAATGTCTAACACATTGTTTTTTTAGCACTGCAAAAATAAAATAAGCAAGATCAGAGCAAAATCAAATCCTTGAGCAAATCAGGAAGAATTTTTTCTCAGGGTCCTTGCACACTGCTCCTTGTCACTTTCTACCAGAAATCCCCATAGTCCATTTTGTACAGTCTTCTAAGCTTTGTTCAAATCTGCCTTTTCCATAATATCTATCAAACTTTTTAAAAATACATATCATTCTTCTTACTCTTGTACTTCCAAGTATTTAGTCCATAGTAATTTGCATATTTTGAATCACAACTTACTTTTTAAATATTTGTTTATTGGGTCTATCTCAGTGATTCAATAAAAATGTTTTAAAAATACTTCACTGTCATTCTCCTCCTGTTGTTCACCGATTTTGCTCAAGCGGGCCCAGTAACATTGTGAGACTTGTTACTGTGTTTGACATATTGAATATGTCATGGGTAGCTTGAAAGGCTTTGCCGTGCAGGCGAGATACTCTCAGTAGCTCTCCAGGCTCTCTGAGAGTGGCAGAGGAATTGAACTCGGGTCGGCCATCTTGGCTACATGCAAGGCAAACGCTCTACCCGCTGCACTATTGCTCCAGTCCGAGATAAATGGTTGCAAAGCTCTTCATGGTCATGTTTCAGTCAATATTCCAATGCCCATCCCTCCAGCAGAGTGCATTTCCCACTACCAACGTCCTTCCCTAGTTTCCTCTGCCCCTGTGCACGACCTCCTTACAAGCCTGTCTCTGTGGCAGCACTTTTCTTCTCTCACCTCTCTCTCACTCTCTCTTTCTCTCTCTCACTGACTCTCTCTCCTTTAATGGTTTACAATACAGATGAGAGGTTATTATGTTTATTCCTTTACCTTTATCAGCAAGCACATAGTTCTTGTCAAGAACAAACCACTCTCTTATATATCAGTATAGTTATGTTATGTCTCTTTTAACTCTTATTTCCCCCTAATAACCAAGTTTATAAGAGCAACTCTTTTCTCTTTGTTTTTCACCAGTAAATCCCTATTTCTTTAACAATTCCTGACACACAGTGTGTGGTGAATTACAAACGTGAACAATATGTCACTTCCTTAATCCTTGGGGTTTGATTTAGTAATAATTTCAGTGGTGATTGCACACGAAACTGTTTCCCAAGTAGATGACTTGGTACAAAACAAATGATGCTTGCATGTGTGCAGGAAACACAGTGTCCCAGAAAGAGAGACCCAGGAGCTCTCTTTCCTACTCTTCACACCCATTGGCAAAGACATAAAGAAAATAGGGGCTGACAAAAGGAGAGAGAGAACAAAAGGGAATGCCATGCCACAGAGGCAGGGTGAGATTGGGGGGGATGGGAGGTGGGGGGGAGGGATACTGGGATCCATGGTAGTAGAAAATGGGCACTGGTGGAGGGATGGGTATTTGTTCATTGTATAATTGAAGCCCAAGCACAAAAATTTGTAAGTCTACAACTGTACCTCATGGTGTTTCACTAATAAAAATTAAAAAAAAAAAAGAAAATAGGGGCTGAAACTATTTGTGTAGATTGATGAGTATTGACAAGGGTTAGAGTTAAACTCTGAACTCGAGGATCAGATCGCCTGAGTTCAAGTCACAGATCTCCTTTTATCTTAAGTGACCTTGAACCCTTAAGTTCCTCTTCCCTTTTCTCATCTTGAAGATCAGATCACCTGAGTTCAAGTCACAGGTCTCCTTTTATCTTAAGTGACCTTTAACCCTTAAGTTCCTCTTCCCTTTTCTCATCTGTGGATTAGGGGGGATAAAGATGTCTACTTCAGAGATCATCACCCTAGGAGAGAATAGCTGGGGCATTTCCAATCTGGCAGTTAGTGAATGTTCAAGAATATGAACATGTGTCAACATTGTATTTCCTGTTGTGTTGAAGCGTCAGATGATGTGAGAGGATGCCACTATAGATACAAAATTGATTTTGATAATAATTATGGAAATGCATCCGTATGGAAATGTAAACATTTTCTTGCACCTCTTAAGAGATTGAGGAAAGGAATGAGTAACTTTAGAAAAGCAGGAAATGAGGTAGGGAAACAGAGACAGGAGCAAGTAAATTTCTTTTAATGCAAACTGAGAACTATTTTAGCAGAGGCTCAGGAACAGAGCTCTAGCAGAGTGTTGGCCTGTGGTGTGTGAGACTCTATCTTCAGGTCTTAGTGCTGTAGAGGATGGAAAGGTAAGGGGAAGGGGAGGGGAAGTGGGAAGGAAGAAGAGGAAAGGGATGTGGAAGAGGAAGGAAAGAGGAAACAAAGGGAAGGAGAAAGAAGGGAAGGAGAGGGAAGAAGTTAGGAAACAAGGTTGTTTTGAGGACGTAAAGAAAGCAGCCACTGAAATTCAGAACTCAGTGTCTTTCTGTTCTCTACAGCATACTGACTCCTGTATCCTCTGAACAATTGTATGAGTTGTTAGAGTTGTACTTGTTATGTCTTATCATGGTTGTTTAAAAGTAGAAAATGCAATAAATATTCTTTCCTATGAAAAAATCCATATATATAAGTATATATATATATATATATATATATAGAGAGAGAGAGAGAGAGAGAGAGAGAGAGAGAGAGAATAGAAGAATGAAGGCACTTGCCTTGCATGAAGCCAGCCCTGATTTGATCTCTTCACCACATAGGGTTCCAAAAGCACAGATTTCTGAATTCTGAGCCTAGAATAAGCGCCGAGCACTGCCAGGTGTAGACTAAATGCATCCCCAACAAAAATAAATTAATGTATATATTTAAAATCAGTAAATAATAAAGTATAAGAACAAAAGTATATGAATATTCAGAGCCAACTCTGATTTAGGGTATATCAGTGATGTGTATCTATTGTTCTCCTTGTCTTCCTGTATTTTCTGATTCTTCTGCTTTCCTGTGAAAACTAAGGAGCATCAGAAGGTTCCAACATGATCTGAATCTGCACTCCGTGGACTTGATTTCTGACTAATCTAGTTACTGACTTAGGTGTGTTTCATTGGACAATTTACTTCCTCTCCCCATCTGCAAACCAGAGACGTGGGTATAGCAATGACATATGATACTGTGAGGATTACAGAAGTTAATACACACAAAGCTGCCAGATTCTATTACTTGCGTTGTCTGTTTCACCAAAAGTGCTAACAACTGCAGGCAATGGGTCCACAGAGAAACAGTTCAGCCCCTTTTTTCCTACTCCAAGATAATGCCCAGTAGAGGACCTTTCTGTGAGATTATAAGAGACTTAAATATCCACAGGCAAGTTTGATAAAGGGGACCACCAAAGGTGGTGCTTACTTGTGAGTCCCAGCAGTGGAGTCAGCTGCAGGTGGAGAAGAAGACGGTACAGCCAGAAGACAAGGATTGCCATCCCAGAGTTTCCAGGAGCCTGCAATGTTGAGTGTGTGGGCCTGCGGAACTCTGCCCTATGCAGAGAAGTCCCGCCTTCCCTGACATGAGAGGAAGTGACTCTCACCAGTAAAGTGTTTGCAAGACAGTAAAATACTCTACATTCAAGGCATTTCCTGTTTTTTCATTGTGAAAGAGGAGTCAGAGAAGCAGTTAAAGCTGAGAAGTTTACATATCAATTTTGTTTGTTTGTTTGTTTGTTTTTTAGTGAAACACCATTAGGTACAATTGTAGGCTTACAAACTTTTGTGTTTGGGTTTCAATTATATAATGATTGAGTACCCATCCCTCCACCAGTGCCCATTCACCACCACCAATGATCCCAGTAGCCCTCCCACTCCCCCCCCTCCCCGTACCTCACCCTGCATCTGTGGCAGGGCATTCCCTTTTGCTCACTCCTTTCTTTAGGGTATTGTAGTTTGCAGTAGAGGTATTGAGTAGCCATCATGTTTGGTCTATAGTCTACTTCTAGCATGCATCTCGCATCCCAAGAGAGTTCTCCAAACTTCCTTTAGTTGGTGTTCCCTTCTCTTTCTGAGCAGCCTTTTCCCATAGCATGTGCTTCTGGCTTCCAAGCCATGAAGCAGAACTCCTGGTACTTATCTCAACTATTTTTGGGTGTTTGACTCCAATTCTGTTACTTTATATTCCCCAGATGAGTGCAGTCTTTCTATGTTTGTTCCTCTCTTTCTGGCTCATTTCACTTAGCATGATGCTTTCCATGTAGAACCACCTGTTACATATCAATGTTCTCAGTGAGATTTGCTCAAACCTATTAGAGATAATGCTTCCTCCTCACTTTGGGTTCTCTGCTATCTCCACTTGGACTTCCATACATCTTGGAGTCTTCATGGTGATTTCACCACCTCTGGCTCAGCTATTCAAGCTCATTTATTTGCCTAATTTCAGAGAACCATAGATAAAACTCAAAAGAGGTCAAAGGCCACAATTAATCCAAACCTGTGCATTGCTGAACACGCTGGATAAATCAGAGGGTGGCAGGTTGGCCTCGTGACCCACACAAGCAGAGCCCCCACCAACCACTTGCTTCCACAATTCAAAATTCCTACCATACCTCTGGCCTGAATCCACCATCTCAGGAGGGATCTCACCAAGGTATAATCTGTTGGAAATCCTGGTATATGGGTTTTGTGACTGAAAGCTCCAGGTTTTCTCAGAGTTTGGGTGGGCTTCCTATCCCCACTTCCCAATACACATGGAAGCACTGGCAGCTAGCCCCAAAAACCAACTCCAGCGCCACCATGTAAGCTCTACTACTAGCCTTGCTTCAGAGACCCATAAATAAATCTTGAAAGAGATCAAAAGGCACAGTTAAGCTCAGACCCGTGCATGGCTGAACAGACTGGGATAAATTGAAGCAGGGTGGGATGAGCTACCTCTCCCCACCTCCCTGTATTTCTGGAATCCTCGGCAGTCATATCCACACCTCAGACCTTCCACCCAATTGAAAAGATACTCCAGTCTTACCATCCCAATACAAATAACGAATGCCTTGAACAAACACCATGACCTCTTGGCACCTGTATTGCAAATCATAATGTATAAAAGGAAAAGGAGAAAGAGAGCAAGAAGGAAAGTGCCTCCCATATAGGGAGGCTGGGAATAGGGGGTGGGGAGACTTTGGAATGGTGTTGGAAAAATGGGGAATATTGGTGGTGGGAAATATGCACTGGTGGAGGGATGGATGCTGGATCATTGTATGACTGAAACCCAACTATGAACAGCTTTGTAATGTTCTGTCTCACTGATATCCAATTGAAAAAAATTTTTAAAAAAAAGTAATGTGGACTTCATGCCCAATTCAATCAGCTTAATCAATAGAAGAATAAATAGCAAGTACTCCTACATTTTTTAAAAAAGTAAACAAATAGAAACGAGATTATAGAGAGTGGTATCAGGAGGCGAACTCCAATTTCTTTATAGGATCAACAGTCAGTTTCTTTATTGACTCAGCTTATAGTACAGCAAGTAGGGTATTTTCCTTTCACACAATAGATTCAATCCCTAACACCAAAGAGTAAGCCCTGACTACCACAGGGAATGGCCCCAAACAGGAAAGAATACCCAAAAAAAAAACCTTTCAGCTGACTTATGGTCCAACAAGGTCTGAGAAAACACAGAAAAATCACCCAGATTTTTAAAATTGCTGGGTTCACATTGATGTCGGTGGGCCCCACAGGTGACTTATGTGAAGCGGGAGGAGAAAGAGGGGTCACTTTCTCCCCAACCACCTCTGCCACCCAGGACCCAGGGTTACTGGGTTCTTGTCTCGCCTCGCAGAAAGGAATTTCAGGAGTAGACAAGCAGTGAAATAAATAGATTTTATTTGGAGAATTTTTAAGGTGTGTATGTGTGTGTGTCTGGGAGAGAGAGAAAGAGAGAGAGAGAAAAATGTACTCGAGAGAACACAGGCTTGTCCAAGGACTGAGAGAGAGCCCCTACATACATCCTAGCATTAGACATGAAAGCATGAAAGTACACATTTCAAGAGGGGAGATGCGGGCAACACATGTGCTCAGCCCTCATGTGCTTGGCCACGTGGGCGCAAGCAGCACATGGGCTCAGGCAGCATATGTGCCCCCTTCCTTTGTTCAAGGTGGTTTATAGGGTTTCTCCAGCCTGCCCCCACATGAAGCTTCTTCCCAGGTAAAAGTCCGTTGCTAAGGTTACCTTGGGGGTTGGGAGTAGTGATGGTCTTTGGGCTGAATCACTAAAGTTAACTGGATTAAAAGGGAGGTCCAAAAAGAGGAACTTCATGGGGAGGAGGCCTATATCCTCAGGGTCTGTAGATGGTCTTATCAGGTCTTTGTTTTCTGTATCCACAAGGTGGGTCAGTCCTAGAATTCTTCTTCCAGGAAACTTTGTTAATGGAGTTTCATTCCCAAGGGCCTTTCCCTATCTACCTGCCTACATCATCACTGTAATCTGATGGTGAAGTGAGAGTCAAGCTGGTCCTGTTTGTTGACTGCCCAGCCCAGGTCTGTACCTGAGGAATCCAACTTCTAATTTCAACAGGTTCTCACATTCCAGTGTTCCACACAGGTGGCACAGGAAGAACCATGAAAATTTCCGGGGTAAAGTTTCTGATCAAGAAGAGCAAGTGCTGCATTTTCTCCAATGTTAGAGAGAGCAGGTTGCTGAGGGATCAGACAGATATGGGGATGGCTGCTCCCTGTGTGTGTCTTCCTTAACTGAGCTATCACTTCTTTCTCTTGTCTTTACCCTTTCCAAAGTGGTAGCCAGTATCAATGTGGGTGAAGAGGCTGTAACAACTCTGAAAAGTTCTTCTTTTTCCCTTTACCCTGGAAGTCACAGTAGCGCCCTTAGCTGTTGAATATGCCCCTCATGCTGGGAACTACTTGCCCCAGTGCTACCCTGATTAACAAATCCCCAGTTTCATGCTCATCAGCAATTTCTCTTCAAGTGGGAATTTCCTTCCTCAGTCTGGGTCCTTTGGTGTAGTTTCAGTTTCTCCCTTTGGTTAGGGTCTTCTTGTTCCATCAGTCAGTCTTCTTGCTCCCATCAGTGGGATTCTTAGGGGCCTGGGACCAGCTCAGGTGAACAGGGTTGAAGAATGAGTGCCACTAAGGATTAAGAAACAAGACAGGAATGAGAGTAAAAGATGTGGCGCGGGGGGAGGGGGTTGGGGATGGGGGACGGCTAAGACTGAGAGCCCATCTGTTCCCACAGAAAGTTGTTGGTTGCTTCCATCAGGAAACCAAATTGAGGAACAGTCATCAAGGGGGTTGGTGGGAAGACATAATATGTTGATTGTAAGCATAATTACTCTTACAAGGACTGTTCTGAGCTAAACTACTCCATTACTTCATGTCTCGACAGGGGGACAAAACCTTCCCATGGATCTGCTTTCTCATATAAGGAAGTTGGGCCACAGTGAAGCACATTCTACACCACTGCCTCAGGTCAGTGTTCCAGGTCAGTCAGTGCCAGTGTCCTTGTTGTTCTGTCCACTCAACCTGCTTCTTTGTCCTATCAAAGATAAGCCTTACTTTGAAGCACAGTGCAGCCATGTATGAGTAATAAAAAAGTAACATTTTGAACATTTTTCCATTTCTTATAGATCTCCAGTCATGACAGATAGTAGTTCATAATTTCTTGCCAAGTTAAATTTCTGTGCTGTGAATTTTAACTTATGCCCTTTCATTACTGTCAGATTAATTGATGTATCATTTCTTTTGTTTGTCTGTTTGTTTTTGGCGTATGAACAAAGTGTTTACTTTTTTGTATTTTTTGACAGATTGGGTCCTGGTTTCATTAACCATTTGTATTATTTCTTAATTTTTATATCATTGATTTCTACTCAAGTTTTCATCATTTATTTCCTTGTGCTTAAGTTGAATTTTACACATTGTTCTTTTTCTGGTGTATTGCAATGTGCAGTTAGATTGCTTCATTTTAGTTTTTTTCCCTGATAAACGAAAATATTGCTAGGAACTTTTCTCTTATGTAGCTTTTGGTGTGTCCCCTACATTTGGATAGCTTGTGCCTTCATTATTACACATTTTAAGGATCTTTTAAATGTTTTGACATCCTCTTCGATCTGAGAATTATTTAATAATGTTTATTTTTCAAACATTTGAATTTTTCTGGCTCCCTTTTTATAGTTACTTTCTACCTGTATATCATTTTGATCTGAGAAGAGACTGCAGAGCATTTCTATTTTTGTGGCTTTAAGTATCCTTGTCTTTTGTCCCAGCATGTGTTCTATCTTGAAGATACCTGTGCACTGGATAATAATGTGTAGTTATATATTTGGTACTTTGATAATAATGCGTAGTTACATTTGAGGCACTTGGATTAGATATGGATGACTGTAATATACATTCACTATCTTCTTCCAATTCCTCATTGAGGGCTTGTATATATATATATATATATATATATATATATATATAATTTCTATCTGATTTTTTTCCACTGATGAGAGTGAGGTAGTGCAGTTTCTCACTTATTGTATTGACATAAATTGTCTCCTCAATCTAGTCGAGTTTCTGTAGTTACTGTTCCTTCATTGGGTCCTGCATGTTGGTAAGAGTTAAGTCCTCCACAAGGACCAGGAATATTGCACCATAGTTGGAAGCCTGTCTCGTGATCTGGGGGAGAAGGCAGCTGGAATAGAGAAGGGATCACTGAAACAATGAAGGTTGGAGGAATTGTTGGGGGTGGGAAATGGGTGCTGAAAGTAGATAAAGGACCAAACATGACCGGCCTCTCAGTATCTGTATTGCAAACCATAATGCTCAAAAGTTCAGAGGCAATATGGGGCAAATTGTCTGCCATGGAGGCGGGAGGGGATGGAAAGTGGGGGTATACTGGGGACATTGGTGGTGGAGAATGTGCACTGGTGGAGGGATGGGTGTTTGATCATTGTATAATTGGAACTCAAATATTAAAGCTTGTAACTGTATCTCACAGCAATTCAATAATAATAATAAAAAAAACAGTTAAGTTTTCAATATACTGATCCTTTAGTCAGGATATACTATCTACCCCTAGTTTGAATTAACTTTGGTCTGGCACAAGTATGACCTTTCCTGCTCTTTATGAGTTGTCATTTTCACGTATAGATGTTTTCCAACCTTTTACTTTGAGATTGTGTTTTTAGTGAATTTTTAAGTATGTTTATTCTAAGTGGCAGACATTTTTGCTTCCTGATCTATTCATTCTGTTCCTTTTGAAGAAGAATCATGCCTTATATTCTCAAACTGACTGATTGGATTCCACAGGGTGTCAAAAGACCGCGTGGCCGCCCACCTACCAGATGGTCAGACTTCTTCGTCAAGATCATGAACGATCGGTTTGAGGCCCTTCATGTTCCCGGAGCGAACAGATGCCATTGGGCTACACTAGCACGCGACAGGGACAAATGGAGACGTTAATGGCGCCCGCTCGAGCAAATCGACGACTAACGGGAAGTTAAGTGATTAAGTGATTCTCAAACAGCCACTGTGACCATTGCAGTGGCTTCAGAAGAGAAAATTATATGTGACCATAAAGGAGTAGTGAGTTGGGTTAAGAAATGGGTGGATTTTAAAAAAAGAAAGAAAGAGAGAAAGAAAGAAAGAGGAAGATTATATGCAGATTGTGTGGACATGACCACAGACAGAGATGCACACATATACATATATGTGTTTATATATTTAGCTATCTAGCTCTCTCTCTCTCTCTCTCTCTCTCTCAACATATATATATGGAGAAAGAGAGAGAGAGAGAGAGACAGAGAGAGAGAGAGACAGAGAGAGAGAGACAGATATACAGGAAGGCATGCAGACAGACACAGACAGGAAATATCTTTCTGAGTTTGAAGAGCAGAATGCATAAGCATATATGAAGGAGGAAAATATTTCTTTAAAAATAATGATAAAAATAAAGATTAATAAAAATGTATACTTAAGAGTCTTGAGGATGAAGGAATCCAGTTCAGGTGACTCTTGACTGTAGATCAAGGCCAACCCAGAACAGAAGATAAACAATATTCTGAGATGCACAGATTTGTCAAGTTTCTCATATTCTAGAGTGATTGTTTCTCATATTCTAGGGTGATGTCAAGAGTCGATCTGAGTTTGCTCCCATGAACCTTGCTTTAGACTGTGGATAAAGTCCCAGAACTGGGCACATCAGGGTGGGAGAAGGGTATCAGGGGTTTTTGGAGGTCTCAGGAGAGGGAAGTCATCTGGAGAACATTCTGGAAGCTTCTTTTATCTCCATTTTCTTTTGATCACAAATCTCAGAAAGGAAAGGAGGCAGCAGAGACTGAGGTGGTAACAGTCGGATTTGAGGAAATAGCTGTAGGAAACAGTTCACACTTCAGTATCTGTTTATTCAAGGAATACTCCCCTGTGTGTGTCCTGGTGCTGCTCTCCTTCTGAAGTACCTTTCCTGGGAATACAGGCATCTCCTGGGAGAGGGTTTTACACATCAACAGTTTCCTGGCTTTGACCCCCATTCTTCATCACTCCTACCCTGTCACAAGTGGTTCAGGGAGGACAAACATTCCTCAGAGCAGCTGCTACTGAATTTCTCAAAAATTACTCCCAGATGAGATTTGCTTCTGTCACATGTCTCCATGATCGAATATTCTAGAGAAGGTCTCCAAAGAACCTCCTTGCTGTTGCCTCTTATTTATCTTCCTTCTCCCTATGCCTACAACTCTGTGGCCATCTCTGAACCCAGATTATTCTACAGGACTCATCTACTTCTTGAATCTGGAGGATCTATTAGAAAAATTCACCATATCCTAAGGATTTTGAGGGACATGTATTTACTTTTCTTAATTTCACATGGGTCCTGGTCATGTGTGACCTGCAGGCTGATCCCTTTTGTTGACTTTTCCTTCATTGGAGAGAACTTGGCCTGTCTACTACTGCAACATTCCCCCCACAACTTACAGTCAGACCCTCAACTTCTTGTAGACATAAATGGCAGGGACACCAAGCACCAACAGCACTTTGGATCCAAAGAAGAAGCCCAGGAGGACATGTATGTACGATGCAGTGCACAGGTCTGTCTCTGGACCTGGAAATCAAGAAACAAGAATTTCCTTTAAGGAACTGTATGAAGTCAATTCTCAGGTAACTCTACTTCTCCCATCTGTGATGTCAGGGCCCATAAACATTCTGAAACTTTTGAATTTGACTGCTGCTATAGTTTAGGATGAATTCAGAAATCAAGGTAAAGAGGTTCCTTATCTTTAATCATTCTTAGGCACACAGAGCTACTTAGAAGCTTAAACACTGAGAGTGCTCTTGACACAAGAATAAAATCAATAGCAAAGTATCTAGCACAGAGTAGGTGCTTAGGCACAGTTTTAATTAGGGGGAGAACAAGTTAAATAAGCAAAGGTCTAGCAAGCAGTGTGAACAATATAACTGTAATCCAAAAATGAAATAAATAAACCCTTGTGTGGCAGCTGGAACCCAGATACATGGCAGGGTAGCTTTGACAGTCACGCATGTTAACTGAAGCAGGGAGGGCCTCGGGTTACCTTGTTGTGTATATGGGTCCCAGTTGCTGTTGCAACACACACACTTTTCTAAGAAGGGTTTCCTAGCAGGGAAAGTTGGATTTGATCAGGGTCTCCGTCTGTTCTTTTCTAGTCCAAACCTTTGGTTGGTAGTGTGCTGGTTGTTGTAATGACGAAAATAACTTGGGACTCCAGTGAGCAGTCACTTCCATATGCACTTCCAAAGTGCCCAAAGTCCCAAAGAGGTGTCTCTGGTGCAGCAGCGCAAGGTAGCACAATTTTCAGTAGAGGGCATCTCTATGATGCTGCAGTGACATTCCTCTTGACTGTGATGAGCAGCCTTTGGAGATCAGATATTCAGCTGCCCTGGCCACACTGCCCAGTTCAGTCAGAATGTGCAGGTGGAGCTGAACCTGGGGAGGTTAGTCAGTGTTTTGCACAATGTTGTACAGAGAAACCAGGGCTGATAGGCACCTCCTGCCCTCACCTCACATCTACCTGAGACCTTTAAGGAGGAGAGTGACTGTTTGATGTCTTCTGGCTTCAGAACATCCTGGCTGACAGGCAGGAAGCTCCCGGCACCCACACAGCTCATGAACACCCCAGTGGTCAGTCCACAAATGTGAAACTGTGGAGTAAGAAGGGAACATCACTGACAGAGGAGGACCCTGACCCCATGTGGAGTGACAGGTCAGAGGTCATAGAGACAAGGAGGTAGATCAGGGATGTATCCCAGGCAGACGGCTCACCAGGCTTTCCCCTGGAGCTCAGTGACACTTGTGATGCTTCCACAGGACTTTCTACCCATCTCTGCACTTCACAGACCTGAACTAAAGCCACCACTTCACTGATGTGGAAACTAAGAATTCTGGACACAGCTTTGGGATGACAGCACCACTGCTCATCTGCTGAGGACCAGCCACGTGAAGAAGGTGCTGCTGAGGATTAAGAAACAAGATATAAATGAGAGTAGAGTGGGGTCAGGAGGCTAATGCTCTGCTATTTGGTCTCATGTTTTCCCATCATCTCATCAGGCAGCCTTTTGTAACCTGACTGTGGAATTTTCCCTGGCTGAGAACTTTCCAAGGTCATCTGGTCTGCTCAGAGCTTTCAATGGTTGTGTGAGTCTTTCTCTGAACCCTTGGAGAGTTTCCTGACAGCCCTCCTATAAATGGGTAGCCCTGGTGACTGTCAGCTTGTCAGACTGAAGAATGTGTGCCTCTTAGAATTGTCTTGTCTTGCTCCATAGTTGGAAGCCTGCCTCATGTGCAGGGTTAGAAGGCAGCTGGAATAGAGAAGGGATCACTAAGAAAATGATAGTTGGAGGGATCGGTTGGGATGGGAGATGTGTTGTGAAAGTAGATAAGGGACCAAATATGATAACCTCTCTGTATCTGTATTGCAAACCATAATGCCCCAAACTACAGAGAGAGTATGGGGGAAATTGCCTGCCATGTAGGCAGGGGGAGGGTGGGAAACGGGGTTATACTAGGGAGATTGGTGGTGCGGAATGGGATTGTAGGGATGGGATGGGAGGAATGGGTACTTTATCATTGTTTGATTGTAACTCAAACATGAAAGCTTGTAACTGTATCTCACAGTAATTCAGTAAAAGAAAAAAGAAAGAAAGAATAAAAGAAAGAAAGAAAGAAAGAAAGAACTGTCTTGTCAGGCTGTTTCTCAAAAAACAAAACAAAACAAAACAAAAAAACAAAAACCAAAAGCAGCCCTATTGCTGGGTCCTTGTTGGAGGAAAGAGGATTTAATCATTTTGGAGAAAAACCTCCAGTTATTGAGCTGACCCCTGTTTCCGTGAGCCTAAAGCAGAGCTGGGAACATAATGAGTGCTGAGGAAAGAGAAGAAGCTCCACTTTGAGAGGAGCCCTCAGAGTGCAAAGTGCAGGACTTGGTGACTTCAACATCATTTGATCTCCAAAGGCAGGTGAAGTAGACTGTGAAACAGATTCAAGGTTAAGCATGAACTCTTCACCTGCTGTTAGTTCTTGTTCTCAGAAGCAAGGCTGGCCTGACTGACTGTGGTCACACAAAAGGACAATAAATACCCCGCACCGCCCCCCCCCCCCCCCCCCCCCCCCCCCCGCTGCCAGAGTACTCACCACTTACAATGACCCATGTGCCTAGCCCAGACTTGAACTCCCTATCTTCCATGCTTCCCTTCTGGAACTTCACACAGTAGTAGAGGCCCGTGTCGGCCTTGTTCATGTCACGGATGCGGATGGAAAAGTCCAAGTTGTCTCTCTTGGTTGCATTTGAAGCACTGGTCACTCGAGGGTAGTGGCCTTTGCCTCCAAAGTTGTAGATCTCTCCCCGGTCACCCATTCTCTCCCTGAACCACTTGACAGGGCCCACGGGAATCAGAGAAGTCAGGGAGCAGTTCAGAGTGGCCGTCTCTCCTGTGGCCACTGACATGAACTTGTCATGCTGGATCACCTGCAGCTCCACATCCTGCCCGGCCACTCCTGAGGAAAACACAAGCAGCTCTTCACTCATCCTTGTCAGTCTGTAGGTTTCCACAACTCTCTGTCAGAAACCTACACCAATGAGCATGGTGAGTTCAGCACATTGTGTGAATCTTATGTTGCCCCACCATGAACCTCCACAGCATGAGTGTGATGCAAAGGAGGAAACTGCAACAAGGAGGTTAAGGACATGGCAGAGAGGGTAGTTTAGGAGCTTTTTCTGGAATATATGGCTTCAGCCAACACTCCTTTCCCTCCACTATCTGGCTTGAGTGACTGTTGGATTTTTGCTCCATGGCATTGTGGAAAACCATGTGATTATTCTGACCAGTGAGTATGAGCAAAAGGATGGGGGTTCCAATTGGATATAACTGATCTGCCAGAACTTCAGTAAATCCACCCTCCTCTTCCCCAGATAATGGTCCTGATGGTATCTGCCACTTAGTCTGAGTACCAGTGAGAGGAAGGTGCAAATCCTAACATATATATCAATATTTATAAGTAATGAACATGATTTTATTTTTTATTGCCTGATCAGTACATATTGGTGTCATAATTCTGCTATGACAATTATCAAAAGTTTATTGCCCTAAAGTGAAAGAATATTTCATCAACAGATGAATGACTGAACATAATGTGATATGTGTACAAAATAGAATAGTTTCATTTCTATTCACTAATAAAATTCTATAACTCAAATAAACTTGACATACATATTAATTGAAATAATTCAAATGTAAAAGGAGAAATATTTCCCCACATTGGCAAGCTACCGAGAGTATCTCGTCCGCACGGCAGCGCCTGGCAAGCTACCCGTGATGTATTCGATATGCCAAACACAGTAACAAACAAAGTCTCCAATGGAGACATTACTGGGCCTGCTTGAACAAATCGATGAACAACGGGAAGACAGTGACAGTGACAGTGACATATAAAGTGTAAAATCTTATCACGCCGAAGGTTGTGTGTTCACGGATTCACTGTCTCACCGCCTGCGTTCGGTGCTCTTGAGCCGCTGTGTGTGGCCTGGATCGGAACGGCTGTTGGCCAAGGGCAGACGGAAGAAGAAACGAGGGCCAGGCCGGTCTATATCAATAGTAGTTTATTCCAATCCTCTTCATGCCTGTCTTTCTCTGCCTCCTTCTCTCCTGGGCCCCAATCTTGGAACCTCTCTCCTTCTGACTCTGACTCTGGATCTCTGGAGCCCGAGTTTTCTTGCTTCTGACTCTCCTCTCTCCAAGCTTACTGTCTTAGTTTATATAGCAGTCACATAAGATGGTGACATAAAGGTGGGTTGAATATTGACGAATCAACAAAGAGAGGTAAGACCACTCCTCCAAGGAGATTAACTCAAGGATGAAATCTCATCTACAGAGATTACTCCAGGTTACTAGAAGATCCGCCCAAGGGTGGGATCCCAACAAGGGTGTGTTCTTCCCTCAGTTAGTAATCTACTTAAATAGTTGTAATAAATCTACTTCTAATACTTCTAGCAATGTCATTCTGTATGAGCACAGTAAGAGATATAAACTTAGTTTGGTTCTTCCTGAGAACATCTCACTATACATTTCGCAGTCCTCAGGCCAGGTTAATCTTCCTAGCTCCAGCAGGGTCCTAGTCTCGTTGTTACTTACGTTTGGATCATGACAGCATTTGTCCATGATCATGCCCTCAACTTATAGTTGAGTATTGTGGCTCTTTGGCCTAGCCCATTTCGATGCAAGGGTAGCTCACAGCTTTCCCTGGGTCCATTCAGTCCCTCGTTGGGACCCTGCTTTTGGGGTGCTAGGAACTAAGGGCAACTGAGTCAAGAAATCAGATGCTCAGGAGTAAATATTATTCAGAGTCAATCAACTCCCAAGTTACAAAGCATAATATTAACTGTCTTCCTGTGTCCACACAGAAAGGACATTGCTTACAATACAAGTTCAGTATCCTTAGATGGATGTGACCTGACAAACCTAAGCTACCTGAGAAAGGACAAAAGAGTGTTATCCTACAATAAAGTACCTACAAAGAACAAATTTATAGAGGGAAAGGCAACTTGGAGCTAGGGAGTGGTAAGATAAGGGCAGTTCTTTGGGATACACAATTTTTATTTAGGATGTTAGAAAGTTCTGAAATATGTGGTGCTTATGAACTCACCACCTGTGAATGTGCTGGATTGCCACTAACTCTTAACAGGCAGGTTCATGTATAATTAACACAATAACAAGTCTGACCTTGAACAAGGTCATTACTCTTTGATTTTCATTAAATATTTCAAGGGGGAAAAAGAACATGTGTGTGTGGTACGGAAGGCAAGTAGATATTTTAAAAATGAATGTTTTAGTGTGGAGAGAGACTAGGGAGGCAAGAGATCAAGAAATAGCAGGCTTCAAATTTGTGTCTTGAAAAGACAGAGCTATTAGCTTTGCTTGGACAAAATAAGTTATAAATTGATGGACCATGAGTCATCCATGATTTTTCACACCAAGTAAAGACTTCCCTGTTGAATTACCTCCCCAAGGACTAGGCATGTTCTAGAATCATATAAAAACACACGCACAAAAAATGCTCCTACTGATTTGAAGTATCTTATGTATATCTCTGATAGCAGAGACCTGTTGCTGAACCACGAATAAATCCTGTGCTCTTTTACTGTTTCTTTGATGCTCAGTGGGAGAGTTGTAGTTCCACTTTGCATGTGTGAGCTGGTCAAGTGCACCCACTCAGCATCTGTATCACTGGGCTGACTCCTAAGGAGGCGCTGCTCTCAAGGTACACACCAGGCTTGTTACTGCTCTCACAGTACACACCAGGCTTGTTACTGTGGTCAAGGCCTCAGGTGGGTTGGGTCTTAAGTCAGGAGAAAAAGATTGGGGGCTGGAGAGACTGTTCAGGGTTCAATGCCCTGGCACTGCATAGAGTCTTGAGCACTGCCAGGAGTGATCCCTGAGCACAGAGCTTAAACATCACTAGACGTGGCCCCAAGTCCAAAACTTTATATATAAAAATAAGAGAAGATGTTTGACAATGGGAAGCTGTGTGAAAAATGACTGTTTATGTGACAAAGTGGGAATCATTATAACTGAATCTTGAAGAGACGAGTGAACTGAATAATGGAGAGAGGAAAGAACTGAAATAGAGGGCGAATGAAGAAACTCTGCCCTCGTATCCAAAATTCACACATTCACACTCTAGTCCAAACCTTTCCTACAGATTATGGACTTTTCAATTCTTCTAGGCTGGATCCTTATTTGGAAGGAAACATCACACACTTAGTACCTGAATTCCTAATTTCTTCCCATACCCTTGCTATCAGCTTGATTCTCCCAGATGTCAGATACCAAGCCCTTGGGTTTCTCTTTCTCACTCCAGCACTGTGCACCAGGAAATCCTGTTGACTCCTCATCAGCATTCGTCCCAAAGGTGAGCTCTCAACTTTGTCTCTACTAACTACTGACTTGTCACAGTCCACTTGGTTTCATGGTCATGAACACAGTGACTTCTGGAATTCTCTAGTTGTTTCTATCTCTGTTGTTTTGTTTATTCTGAACTAAATGCAGAATCATTTCATACTCATCATGGAGCAAGTGGCTTCCTTCCTTAAAACCTTGCAATATGAAACCTATTTTTTTCAACCACTGCAAAAAAAATATGTGCAAGATATGTGCAAGATCAGAGCAAAATTAAATCTTTGTGCACAACCGGAAGAATTTTTTTTCTCAAAGTCCTTGCAGATGTTGTTCCCTGTCACTTTTCCCCCAGAAATTTTCACGGTCCATCCTGCACTGTATTCTAAGCTTTGCTCAAATCTCCCTTTTTTGTCAAGTCCATCAAACTGCTGTTTAACACACATGTCATCCTTCATTCTTCATCTACTCCCAAATATTTTGTCTGGAGTACTTTCTAATTTTTAATTCATAAGACACTTTCTTATATACAAGATTAATTATCTTTTATGTCTATTTTACTGACATTTTCCATTACCCCCAAATACTAAGCATTATAATAGCAACTATTTTGTCTCTATATTAGTCAGCACACTCCAATTTCTTTAACAATCTGACACACAGTGTGAGGTCAGTAAATAACTGTATGTCTACAAATGTAAGCGATGTGGCACTCCCTTGATCTTTGAGTTTTATTTTTAGTGATAATTTCAGTAAACATTGTGCAAGAAACTGCTTCCTAAGTAGATGAGTTCATATAAAACAAAAGCTGCTTTCCAGATTCTGGCTATTGTAAAGAGTGCTGCAATGAACAAACAATTGCAGATGTCACTTCGACTATACTTTTTTGCCTCTCTGGGATATATTCCCAGGAGTGGTATTGCTGGATCAAATGGGAGCTCAGTTTCTAATTTTTTGAGAATCGTCCATACTGTTTTCCAAAAGGGCCAAACCAGTCGGCATTCCCACCAACAGTGAAGCAGTGTCCCTTTCTCAGCACATCAGCGCCAGCACTGGTTGCTTTTGTTCTTGTGGATAAGGGCCAGTCTCTGTGGTGTGAAGTGATATCTCATTTTGGTTTTGATCTGCATCTCCCTGATGATTAATGATGTGGAGCATTTTCTCATGTGCCTTTTAGCCATTCGGATTTCTTCTTTGTGAAAGTTTCTATCCATTTCATCTCCCCATTTTTTAATGGGGTTGAATGTTTTCTTCTTGTAGAGTTCAACCAGTACTTTGTATATCCTTGTATTAACCCCTTATCGGATGTGTATTTGGCGAATATCCTTTCCCATTCTGTAGACTGTCTTTGCATTTTGGTCACTGTTTCTTTTGAGGTGCAGAAGCTTCTTAGTTTAAGATAGTTCCATTTGTCTATCTCTGTTTTCAACTTGCTTGGCCAGCATTGTGACATCTTTGAAGACACCATTAGCTTCTATGTCATGGAGGGTATTGCCAACTTTTACCTCAATGAACCTTATGGATTCCGGTCTGATGTTGAGGTCTTTTATCCACAGATGACTGGTTAAAGAAACTTTGGTACATTTACACAATGGAGTACTATGTAGCTGTTAGAAAAGACGAAGTCATAAAATTTACATACAAGTGGTACTACATGGAAAGTATCATGTTAAGCGAAATGACTCAGAAAGAAAGGAATAGACATAGAAAGATTGCATTCATCTGGGGAACATTAAGTAACAAAATAGGAGACTAACACCCAAGAATGGCCAAGATTAGTACCAGGAATTTTACTCTATGGCTTGGAGGCCAACCACACATGCTAGGGGAAAAGGGAGCTCAGATAGAGAAGGGAACACCAAATAAAGGTGTTGGGAGGATCCTCCCAGAATGGGAGAAGCATGCGGAAAGTAGACCACATACCAAACATGATTGTCACCCATTGCCTCTTTTGCAAACCAAAACACCCAATAAGAGAGAGAGAACAAAAGGGAATGCCCTGACACGGAGGCAGGGTGAGATGGGGGGACGGGGGGTGGGAGGGATACTGGGATCCGTGGTGGTGGGAAATGGGTACTGGTGGAGGGATGGGTATTTGATCATTGTATAATTGAAACCCAAGCACAAAAATGTGTAAGTCTGTAACTGTACCTCATGATGTCTCACTATTAAAAAAAAACCACATGGGCATTCCATCTAATTTCCAAAAAATAAAACCTGCTTGCATACATACAGAACAAAGAGGCCCCAAGGGACAAACACACACGAGCTCTCTTCTGTACTCTTCACACCCACTGACAGCAGCTATAGAGATAATATTGGCTGAAAGTATTTGTGTAGATTGATTAGTGTTTAACAAGAGTTAGAGTTAAACTGTGAGCTCTAGTATCAGACTCCCTGAATTCAAGTCACAGGTTTTCTTTTACCTTAAATGACCTTGAGTCCCTTTTCTCATCTGTGGGTTAGGAGAAATAAGAGTATTTACTTCAGAGGGCTGGAGCGATAGCACAGCGGGTAGGGCATTCGCCTTACAAGCGGCCAACATGGCCTACCCGAGTTCGATTCCTCCGCCCTTATCGGAGAGCCCAGCAAGCTACCGAGAGTATTCGATATGCCAGACACAGTAACAACAAAGTCTCCAATGGAGACGTTACTGGGCCTGCTCGAGCAAATCGACGATCAACGGGAGGGCCTTTACCTTTACCTTTACTTCAGAGTTCATGATCCCAGGAGAGAATACTGGGGCATTTCCAATATGGCAGTTAGTAAATGTTCATGAACATGAACATGTATCAACATTGTATTTCCTGTTGTGTTGAAGCTTCAAGTGGCACAGTAGGATGCCAATATGGGTTAAAAACAGATATTGATAATAATTATCCCAAAGGTACTCCAATATGGCAATGTAAAAATTTCTACTCATGTCAAGAGAGAAGTTTGTATGTCTTAAGATATTGGAGAAAGGGAGAAGTAAATTTAGAAAAGCAGGAAAGGAGGTAGTGAAACTGGAACAGGAGCATGTAAACCTCTGTTCAATGAACACTTCATGTAAACTGAGAACTACTTTAATAGACACTTTACAGACACATAGCTCAGTGGTAGAGTGTTTGCCTGTGTGTATCTGTGAGGTCTTTTCAGTCCATAATGCTGTGGAAGAGAAAAGGAGGGAAAGGGAAGGGTAAGTGGAAGGAATGAGGGGAAGGAATGAAGAAGGGTAAGCGAAGAGGAAGCAAGGGGAAGGGGGACAGAGAAGTAAGTGAAAGGAAGGGAAGGGAGCCCCAAGTTAGAAAACAAGGTTGTTTTGAGGATGTAAAGAAATTAGCCACTAAAATTAAGAACTCGAGACTCACAAAAGAATCACAGAAAATGAGAGCTCACCACAGAGATGTCCCAGGACCCTGTGCTGAGCTGATTTCACTGGGGTGCCTCAGATGTTCTCTCTCTCTGCCTACTCCAGATGAACCCCAGTGGCCTTAACCCTCCAGAAGAAAAGCCCCGGTACACGGAATCAGTAACTGAAAGCTCCAGGTCACATGGAGGTGAATATGTGCCGTCCCTCCCCCTCCCACTGCCCATTCGGGCCTTGGCTGTCACAGCCATGAACTGCCTCCTGATACCATTTAAGCACAATAATGGCCAAGAACCAGAGACTCACAAATGAATCTCGGAAGAGAACGCTGCAGAGATGTCTTCGCACCCCAGTTATTTAAAGTTTTAGATCTCCAGGAGCATGTGGCCTCTTTTCTTGACCACACAACATCCTATACTATTCATAACAAGCAATACAAAATAAATTGTTTAGCATCTACCTGTGGGACAGGCATTAGTGTTGGTGAAAAAATGGTGGAGGGAAGGAGTAATGGTGGTGGGATCGGTGTTTAAATATTGAATGTAATCAGCTACGGTGAACAATTTTATAAAAATAAAATTTAAAAAATGAAAATAATAACTCATAAATGGGAGCAATTAGTCTTCTCATCTGTACAGAAATATTTATATATGTGTCTTTTCAATAATTGTATGAGTGTTAACATTATATTTGTTATATTTTAAAATGGCTTTCTTTAAACAATAAATGTCCAATAAATGTTCTTTACTTTTAAAAAGAGAAATTCCAATGAATAAAGGTGGTGATACAGTACAGGAGTTAAGGCACTTTCCTTGCACATAGGCAACCCTGATTTGATCCCTGCCACCAAATATGGTCCCATGAGCACAGCCAGGAATGATTTGTGAACACAGAGCTAAGAATAAGCCCTGAGCACTGCCTAGTGTTGCCCAAATATATCCCCCACAAGATGAAAGAAATTGCAATACATATTAAAAACTCTGTTGGTGCTAAGCCAGGACATTAGGACGAGCCTCTGGACACTGCCCTGAAAGCAGAAAGTAGAAAGTAGAGGCCCCCTTTTGAGTATAGTGGGCGAGCTAAGCTTGTGAGTCTGGATGATCTAGAAAAGTACAGCATGCTCTCATATGCCCGCTCTCATAGGCTCTCTTACACATACTTAATCTGGTTTTACCTTGAAGTATCAGTATGAGTCTTCTCTTTTGTGTGTGTGTGTATAACATACCACAAGAATGTGGGGAATGTAATCTGTAGAACCTACGTGTCCAGCTCCATATCTTCCTCTGACATTTTAATCATGACCACATAGCTTTGATAAGACAACGTATACCCTGATGTTCTTTTGATGGATGCTTACCCTATAACTGTTAGTACTCTCGTTAGTGAGTCTTTCTCTGTGATGAGGCCCTTAGGATGCAACTAATAAAAAATAGACTAAAAAGAGGCCTCTAGCAGTCTCTCTTCTCCTGGAGCCAGATCGACGCCTTGGCCCTCCATGCTCTCTACATTCCTCTTATGTGTCTTGTCTCTGGGTCTCCAACTGAAAGAATATTCACGCAACACTCAGTACATAATAAAGTAGATAGGAACAAAAGTATGGGAATATATAGAGCCAACTCTGAACTCTGGAGATCTCAGTGATGCTGATATCTATTGGTCTTGTTTTCTCTCTGTCCTCCTGTTGTTCATCAATTTGCTCGAGCAGGCCCAGTAGCATCTCCATTTTTTGAGACTGGTTGTTACTGTGTTTGGCATATTGAATACGTCACGGGTATGCCAGGCTTTGCTGATTTTCTTTCTATATTTTCTTCTTCTGCTTTCCTCAGGGAGCTAAGGGGCATAACAAGATTCAAACATGATCTGAATCTGCACTACCTGGACTTGATTCCTGGATGATCTACTTGCTGACTTAGATGGACAGCTTATTTCCTCTCCCCATCTTCAAATCAGATAAGGTGGTTATAGCATTTACACAAGATGATGTGAGAGTTACACAAGTTAAACACACAAAGCTTACTTCTCAGGTTGCTTTTAGTTGCATTATCTGTTTCACCACCATTCTTAACAACTGCAGGCAATGGGTTCACAGAGAATCAATTTGTTTCTTTGTTTGTTTAATAAGTTATTTTATTTGATCACAGTGAGACACACAGTTACAAAGCTGTCCATGATAGGATTTTAGTCATAAAATGTTCCAACACCCATGCCTCTACCAGTGTACATTTCCTACCACTAATGTCTCTAGTTTCCCTCCTGCCACATCACCTCTTCGGCCTGTCTCTATGGCTGGCATTTTCCTTTTTACTCTCTCACACTTAGTCTCCTTTTGGGCATTACGGTTTGCAATACAAATACTGAGAGGCTATAATATTTGTTCCTATATCTACTTTCAGCACCCTATTCTTATCCAGAGTGATCATCTACACAGTGGAATACTACGCAGCTGGAAATTCACATATAATGAAATTCACATATAATGGAAAAACACAGAGAGTATCATGCTGAGTGAAGGAAGCAGAAGGAGAAGGACAGGCGCAGAATGATTATTCTCATTTGTGGATATAAAATAAATGTAATATAATACTAATGCCCAAGAACAGTAGAGAAAGGACAGCTATGACAAAGATAGTTGAAAAGGATCAGAGAAAGAGTTCAAACCTTGCCTTCCTGCTCTGAGAAAATGCCCAGACCCTGGCCTTACTCCAAGTTTACTAGAAACTTAAATATCCACAGGGAAGTTAGAAAAAAGGGAATTCTACCCAACATGCTTCTCACCTGTGAGTCCTAGCAGTTGAGTCAGCTGTAGGTGGAGAGGAAGAAGGTAGAGCCAGAGGAGCAAGACTGACATCCTGGACTCCCAAGGAGCCTGAAGTGTTGAGTGTGTGTGCTGGTGGAACCAACTCTGCTCTGTGCAGATAAGGTTGCCCTGGGCAACCTTTCCTGACATGAGAGGAAGTGACTCTCACCAGTGAAAGAAGTGCAAAACAATAACCTGCTCTACATCTAGGCATTTCTTGATTCTTTGTTGTGAAGAAGTCGGGCAGGGGAGGGGTTAAAGCTGAAAAGTTATACACCAAGTGTTATCAATGAGACTTGCTTAGCCTATTAGAAAAAATACTTCCTCCTCACCTTGGTTCCTATGATGTCTCCACTTGAACTTTCATACATCTTGCAGCCTTCATGGTGATTTTACACTCAGGAGCTCCCAGGTTCAAGAGTGATGTCTGGCTGTGAGTTATGTCCCAGACTCCCAAGTTAGGGATCCTGACCATGATGAGCTTAAGGTTACATTCTGCTGGCGTGGTTCAGAAGATTTGAAGAGGATTTAAGGGAACTGGACAATTTGGGATAGAGTCATATGGTTTCTGAAAAGCCTCTTTATTCCAACCATTTATTAATGTCACTGGCAACATTTAGTGTTGTTGTAAGAGTGCAATGTGGATGTTCCCCTAAACGATAAAAGAAGCCAGTTTCTGCTTTGTTCCTGAAGATGACATGCTTAGGACAGTATATGAGAGTCAGAATCTGGATGTGGCAATGTAGTGCCAGGCACAGAGAACATAAATTTTGTGTCTCAGTGAATCAACTGTCAGGCATTATCTTAGAAATGAAAACATTGTCCATAAAACAACCTATGAATTGGCATATGTGACAGTTGTCTGGGGATAATAACCCAACTAGAAATAATTGCAATGTCCACTAAATGTGTGGTTAGACTGGTGTTCTGGAGACCAGTGTGGATGATCAGGATCAAAGCAGGTGAGCCACAGGATTTAGAAAGAAGATAGAAGTGATAGTATAAAGAGTGGGGTCAGGGAGGATGAAGTTCAGTTTTTTTATAGGCTCAACAGTCAGTTTTTTATAGGTTCAGCCTATAGTATAGCTAGTAGGTCCTTCCCTTTCCACACAGTAGACCAGGTTCAATTCTTGTCTTCAAGAGTAAGCCCTGAGCAGCACAGGGTATAACCCCCATATGAAAAACAATACATGCAAAAAGATATTTCAGCTTAGTTATGGTTCTACAGGGTCACAGTTAACAAATAAAAGCACCAATTTTAAAAACTGTTGGATACATACTATTATGATCTCGAGTGATGGTGAAGCTTGTTCTGTTTGTTGACTGGTCACCCCAGGTTCATACATGATGATTCCCATTTCTGATTTCTTCTTTTAAAAAAAATTTATTTCATTTTTATAAAGTTTTTTATGATGATTTATTGCACTCAAAAGCACTGTCTGTAGCACTGTCCTCCCGTTGTTCATCAATTTGCTTGAGCGGGCCCAGTAACGTCTCCTTTGTGAGACTTGTTGTTACTGTGTTTGGCATATTGAATTCATCACGGGTAGCTTGCCAAGCTTTGCTGTGTGGGCAAGATACTCTTGGTAGCTTGCCGGGGTCTCCAAGAGGGGCGAAGAAATAGAGCCTGGGCCGACCAGGTCAACCGCGTGCAAGGTAAACTCCCTACTCGCTGTGCTATTGCTCCAGTCCATTGCATTCAATATTCCAACACTAATCCCACCATCATTACATCTTCCTGTGCCTACTTCTGATTTCAACAGACTCTAACATTCCAGCGTTTCACACAGATGGCACAGGCAAACTATGAGGATTTCCGGGGGGAAAGTTCTCCTGATCAAGAACAGCAGGTGCTGCATTTTCTCCAAGTTCAGAGATACCAGGTTTCTGACGGACCTATGGATATTGGGATGGCTGCTCCCCATGTGTGAGTCTTTTTCAACCGAGCTATCACATCTTTTTGTTGTTTCAACTCTAATCTTTCTAAGAAGGCAGCCAATTGCAATGTGGGTGAAGAGCCTAGAACAACTGTGAAAAGTTCTCTTTGCCTTCACCATGGATGTTGCAGATACTCCCTTATGTGTTGAATATGCTCCTCATGTACAAAAGTACTTACACCAGTGCTACTCTGAGTAACAAGTCCTCAGAATCCTGCTTAGCAGCAATTTCCCTTCTAGCAGGAATTTCCTTCTTTAATTCCAGGTCCCCTGGTATAGTCTCGAGCTCGAGCGGGCCCAGTAACGTCTCCATTGGAGACTTTGTTGTTACTGTGTTTGGCATATCGAATACTCTCGGTAGCTTGCCGGGCTCTCTGAGAGGGGCGGAGGAATCGAACTTGGGTCGGCCATGTTGGCCGCTTGTAACGCGAATGCCCGGCAAGCTACCGAGAGTATTCGATATGCCAGACACAGTAACAACAAAGTCTCCAATGGAGATGTTACTGGGCCTGCTCGAGCAAATCGATGATCAACAGGAGGGACTTTTTACTTTACTGGTATAGTCTCAAATTCTCCCATCAGTCAGAGTCCCCTTGCTCTCATCAGTCAGACTCTTAGAGGGCTACTGAACTGGGACCAGCTCAGGTTAACATGGTTGAAGATGGGGAGCCTCCAACGATTAAGAAGCAAGACAGAATGAGAGGAAAAGGTGTGAGACCAGGGTGCTAAAAGTCTCCCAGCTTAAGAGAGTATCTGTTCCTGTAGAATGTTGTTTGTTGTCTTCCATCAGGAAACCAGAATAATGTTGTTATTGGGAATTGGGTAGTGGAGGAACACACATAATGCTTTGACTATAAGCATAATTATTTTTGTAATAACTATTCTAAAAGCTAAGCCAGTCCATGACTTCATGACTTGACAGTTTGGGACAAACTCCTTCCTGTGGGTCTGCTTTCTCATACAAGAAATTCAGGTCACAGTGGAGCACATTCAGGACCATTGCCAGTGTGTTCCAGGTCAGCCAGCACCAGTGTTCTGACCACCAGGTCCCTGTTGTTCTGTCCACTCAACCTGCTTCTTTGTGTTATCTATCATAAGCCTTATCTTCCAGCACAGGACAGCCATGTATGAACATCTGAAAAAAATACCATTTTGAACACTTTTCATTTCTTACAAGTTCTCCAGCTTCATCGCAGAAAGTTCTTTATAGTTTCTTGTGAAATCATATTTCTTTGATATCAATTTTTCTTATGCCATTTCATTTCTGATATGATTAATATAATTGCCATTTCTTTTGTTTTTCATCCAGTTAAAATTTTTCTCTCTGGTTTTATTTTATTTCAATAAAGCAGTTCACAATAATTGTCCAATTCATTATTCTAAGACCAATCCCACTACCTAACACCTTCCCAACGCCTTTCATTACCTCTCAGCATCCAAGCCTGTCATGTGGAGTGAAGCATAAGAACTCCAGGAATCTGATATTTTAGATAGGGTGATACAACCTGTCGGTTTCTTAAGGATTCATTTTGAATCTCTAGATCATAGCCATTAATGAGTTTAAATGGCAGTGGAGGTCATCGTGGGCATGGCCACTAGGCTCCTGGAAAACAGGGATATAGGTGAAGGTCACCCAGTCCCAACTCCACAAGATTCTGTAGGTCACAAAACCTGCATACCTGAGGTTTTCAGCGGATTCATTCTCATGCATGAGGGTCTCAACTCCAGCCAGTGGAGAATCACAATGAGCGTGAGGGCGATTGGGTTTTGGATGGTTTTGACTGCTGGGGTTCTGTTGAGGGAGGGGGAAAGAGAGTCTTCTGCCCTGCTCCCCCTCCCCCACCCCCCATTTTCCTGAATGAAGTTCAGCCTGGCACGGCATCGGCATCTGGGGTCATCTCTGAAACTTGTGGCTCTCTTGTGAGATTTATTTGTTGAGTCAGAAAGAAAGATTTATTTTTGTTTTGTTTGTTTGTTTCTTTTTTTTTAATTGATTTTTGACAGATTGGATCCTGGTTTCATTAGCCTTCTGTACTAAGGTAAAGGTAAAGGCCCTCCTGTTGTTCATCGATTTGCTCGAGCGGGACCAGTAACGTCTCCATTGGAGACTTTGTTGTTACTGTGTCTGGCATATCGAATACGTCATGGGGAGCTTGCCAGGCTCTGTCATGCGGGCGAGATACTCTCGGTAGCTTGCCGGGCTCTCTGTAGCCTTCTGTATTATTACTTATTTTTTTTGTCTTCAATTTCTAGTCAAGTCTAATCTAGTTCTAGTCATCAATTATTCCTGTGCATAAATTGGATTTTTTTTTTTTTTGTAAGGTAAAGGTAAGGTAAAGGCCCTCCCGTTGATCATCGATTTTCTCGAGCGGGCCTAGTAACGTCTCCATTGGAGACTTTTGTTGTTACTATTCCTGTGCATAAATTGGATTTTTTTTTTGTTAGAGTTGGTCAAATCAAACCCTAAAACCAGGTCACTAGAATTTAGTAGATTCCCAAATGAGTGTGACAAAAATATTGTTTATCTGTATCCATCTCTGAAGTTTTTTGTACCCAGACTTCCCCAAGGGCATGCCTTTTTTTTTTTAACTAGTGAAACACCATGAGCTACAGTTACAAATTTTTGTTCTTGGGTTTCAGTTATACAATGATCGAGTACCCATCCCTTCACCAGTGCCCATTCTCCACCACCACTGATCCCAGTATCCCTCCCATCCCCCATCCACCCATCCCACCCTGCCTCTGTGGCAGGGCATTCCCTTTTGTTCTCTCTCTCTCCTTTTGGGTTCTGTGGTTTGCAAAAGAGGCATTGAGTGGCAATCAGGTTCGGTCTATAGTCTACTTTCAGCATGCATCTCCCATCCTGGGAGGATCCTCCCAGCACCCTTCACTTTGCACTCCCTTTTTTGTCTGAGCTGTCTTTTCCCCTAGCATGTGCAACTGGCCTCCAAGCCATAGAGTGAACCTCCTGGTACTAATCTCGGCCATTCTTGGGTGTTAGTCTCCTATTTTGTTACTTTATGTTCCCCAGATGAATGCAATCTTTCTATGTCTGTCCCTCTCTTTCTGACTCATTTTGCTTAACATGATACTTTCCCTGTAGTGCCATTTATATGTAAATTTCATGACTTCATCTTTTCTAACAGCTACATAGTACTCCATTGTGTAGATGTTATCAAAATTTCTTTAGCCAGTCATCTCTTCTTGGGCACTCGGGTTTTTTCCAGATTCTGGCTATTGTGAAGAGTACTCCAATGAACAATTGCAGATGTCACTTCGACTATAATTTTTTGCCTCTCTGGGATATATTCCCAGGAGTGGTATTGCTGGATCAAATGGGAGCTCACTTTCTAATTTTTTGAGAATTGTCCATACTGATTTCCAAAAGGGCTGAACCAGTCGGCATTCCCACCTACAGTGAAGGAGTGTCCCTT